GTAAATGGTAGGTTGGATGCAATATGTAGATGTTATAATAGCAGGCCCAAAAATTCAAACAGACCGCCAAGGTCATATATATATATATAAAGGCAAACATCACTGAATTAATTCATTTCATCTCATATTCTTATTGACCAGACATGTTTTAAATTAAAATGGAAATTAACTGACCATTATTTCATTTTGTACTTGTTCCACGAAACATTTTCCGATACAATTCTAATTTACCTTCAATGTCTACTATATGCTAAAATTACTGGATTTATAATTTTAGAACATGAAGAAGAATTGACTAAAAGCAGTTGTTCTCTCTAATTATTCATGTCCTGGATAAACGAATTAGGTCTATTTTAGGATGGCTAGTATACATAGTGGTGGCTAAAGGTGGTTAAGATGTATGGCGAAGTGACAGAATTCAAAAAACTGGCAACCCCATCAGCCGAATTCATTTTCTAAGTTTCAACAAATGAAGCATGTTGCTGTCAGACAATAATTTGTTATTCGGCATATAAACACCTAGGGTCTTTTTATTTTTAATAAGGTTTTTATGTAAAAGTGTTTTAATCCAAGCGACAATAATTAATTGTCCCTTTGAACAGTTGTTTCATTACATTGCAGTTATATATATATGTATATATTCATCAGTTTCATGTAAATATTGGCTGTAAAATAAAGCCAAAGTTAGAAGTCCTTCGTTTTTAACATTTCCCAAGGTTTGGAAAATGGAAAAGATGTGAAGCCGCAGAAGTAAATAATTATTGTCCTATCTCCATTTTCATATTTGAATCATGAATATTTACTTTAACAAGTCACTCTGAAAAAAATAGTCTAGACTCAGAACAAGCGTTCAATGAATATAAAAATCTAAATAAAATTCTTCCTTTAAAGAAATCGCTTATTTTGCTGTTATTCCACTGAGCGACCTTGAGACGACCTCTCCCCCATGATGAAGAATAGTTTTTCCCCATAATTTCTTAATCTATGTTTGCAATTTAAATAGCGAATTTCATTAAATCACGGTTATGTGCTAAGATTCGCAGACTGCTGATGGTATAAAGAGTGACTTTTGAAGTTGGGATAAAATCTCGGTTAGACTGAGATTCGAACCGCAGTCCTCCAGGTTGCTACTAGTCAGTGACTCTGGGGGATAAACTATGAGACTTAATTCCATAATGGATAAGATTTTATTTTGATAAATCACACAGTGTAGTACAGTTACATTAACTGATGACGTTTCGAGCACAAACTATTGCTTATAATCATAACAAGTTACTCACACAACTTTCCTTCATTTATATACATGTGTGGAATCAACTAGATATTGGAATAAAATTCAATATGAGATAATGTACATTCAGAAATAATAGTACGAGTGTTATTAATCCATTACAATTAGATGGGAAATACGACGAGTGTTTTTATAGTCATAATAAGTTAATTGTTAGAATGTTATGATGTGTTCGAATTGAAATAGAATTTTAAGATCATTTATTATCCTCTTCTGATTTTACTTGAGACTTAAGTTTTTACACCATTATTTATTGCATAAATAACCCTCTCCAAATTGCAGACAGTCACACCAAAAAGAAGTAAACTTTATCCAAAATTGATATTCATTAAGATTTATCGACTGGTACATTTGATCGAAAATTCAGTAACATGAAACATCGTTCATGACTAAAAAACGCTACAAGGACCTTTATTTCAAGGGTGACCTAAGCTCTCGCGTCTGACCAGTTCTCTCTCTCTCTCTATATATATATATATATGTATATATATATATATCCATTCACCTGATTTCGTGAAGCCAGGTACATTGGTCACTAGAGTCATCTCCAGTAAATAGGATAAACGGAAAGCAAAAAATTGTGGAACGCCTCTCTCTGTCTCAGGAAATTCCTTCTTCACAGAGATCTGTAACGTAGAGACCAGCCTGGAAAAGAACAACAAGCATTTGTCGTCCTAGTATTCCTAAAGGTCTGTCCATCCAGATCCCGAGACCCAAGCTCTGAACTCTTCAGTCACTTCTACTATCACTGTAATGATCATGTTTTCAAATACTTCGTACTTCTGTTGTTTTTCAGACTGTTTTTTACTCTTCTGTTCTTTCGAAATCCTGCGAAATAACACAATCATTTACATTGCGCAGCACTATTTCTCTTTTTTACCTGATATGCATCAAAAGAGCTGGCTGGTCTGTATTAGCAAACATGTTTATGAAAATTCATGTCTTTCAATCTTCTCCTACTTTGGGGTAAAGAAACTGTGTGCAAATTTGACTTTATAGCTAAAGAAAATCAGCTGACTGAAAAGAGCGTTTTTGATGAATTACTTGTTTTGGGTAATTCATGAATTACAACTTCATTCTATCGAATTTAGCATGATAAGAAATGGCAGATGATCTAGTCACTGACATAACAGCTGTACACGACCCGTGATAGTTTTCGTGGCTTTCATTTGATCCTTAATCACTACCCATGACATGAATTCCTTTTAACGCTTCACATTGTTTTTACTATGTATCAACAGGATTCCTTTTTTTCAACACTTCTATATCTTCACCATCTCTGTAATTGTCTGTATTTTTTTCAGGCGTTCTAGTGTTTGCACGCTGAACAAAAAATAGTTCATTTAATTAGTGAAATTCAAAATACTTCATTAATTTCCATGTTAGGAGAATATCATTCCAAGATAGGGGAAGAAAGTCAGACTGCCATCAATTAGGAGCTTAATTTATAAGAAGTGTATATCAGATGATATAAACACTTTGTTAGAATTAACAGATTGCTTGATTTTGGGTTGAGTGAAGAAAACATCTTTCGGTTTGCGTACAGCAAGTCTGTAAAGGTTCCTAACCTCATTTTATGCTATAATCTGCGTCATAGGTGATTCTCCATCAGTGTTGTTTTCCGAGGAGAAATTTACTCTGTGTGTTTTCAGTACAATATTTATGAGTGGTAAAGGTTGTTATCTGAGTTGTGTTCAACAGGTTTCTCAGCGAGTCCTTTAAAAAGAATGTGTTACTTCTTTTCTCTGTTTCTAGACCTATTTATGTTTTGTCTTTTTTAGTAATAAAAATAATTTGCTTTATTCCAAAACAGTAGTAATGCTACAGTGTAGAATTTTTAGCATTTGGTAGAATATCGCATCTAACTTTGTCGAACAACATGAGAAACAGTTATAAAGGTAATATTACAAGATTGTTCATGGCAGTTCTTATTTGATTTTAGTAGTGAAAGTAAGGTCAAACACTTTGTTTAACCTCATTTGAACCTTCAGTTTCCCCATTGGAATATAACGACAGCAATAACTACAGATAATTACTCAAGTCTAGTAATAACACAATTTATTATTTTCCTGTCTTGTGCGAATAGAATGCTTCATTGCATCATGGAAAAATTAAATCGTTTTTCATCAGCAAGCTTTCAGCACCTATCTAAACTGATTATGTTATTCTGTTTCATTCAGAGCTGTTGATGCGTAGACATCCAGATGGGGTTTCCGTAATTGTTCAACTAACTTGCTGCGGATTATCGAAAGCCAAGGATGATAATTTATTTAATTGTTTGGAAGATCCCGCATGAATTATACAGAACTAATGGAAAAGTATTTTTCCAATATTTATTTCATTCTCTTAATTCGATAATGGACCCTGTGAATAATGGTATTTAATTTAATATTAAAAATAAAATCTAAGGCTGTTCAGTTCCTAGGGATTAACCATGTCTATGTAACATGTTTCTTAGTCAGAGATTTTCATCGTGTTTCAACAAATCAAGTGAAAAACTTTTATTTTTCAATCACTATTCAGCAGATTTCAACATGAATCGCTACTTTACTCCAGTGACATTTGTTTTACTCTGTTTTTATAATACACTGATTTTAATTCGATCGAATTCTTCAAAGATGTTTTCTGTTTTGGTTATTTTCATCTGTAATATTCATTTGTTCTTGGATCCAGGTTAATGAGTGAAAGAAAGGATTTTTGTCATTTAGCACGTGCTAAAACTCTATGGATATTTTTAACTGTTACTTATAAACAGTTAAATTTTTGCGCTGTGTGGAATTGTTATACTATCAGGTATTTCCAAGCCCCATCGGTGAACCTCTGTATCCACATTATTTGCAGATGAAGGAAAGCACATTCTATACTGTGGATTTTCATTCTGTTTGTATTGTGCAAGAATACTTCCTTGATTCATTGATTTTTTTTCTTTCACGTTCCCCAGTGGAACATAAGGCTTCCAGCTAGAGGCTTGAAGTTTCTGTAGAAGTGTTTATTTTTACAGGATGGGGTTGCTAGCCTCATGCCCAACCTTTCCTCTTCACCAGCATTATTTCTGGCTTAGCGAGGTAAAGGAGTGTGATGGCCGGGGATCGAACCCCGGACCATGTGCATGGTCGGCAAGCGTCCTAACCGCTATGCCACCGACACTCCTGTTCTTTGATACTGAACAGAATTTTTTCGCTTCTATCTCTTCATCAACAAATTTGAATTTTCACAAAATCTAAATAAACCTAATAAAAAGAGAAGACAAATTTCCCTCAGAAAATGCATAAACGCGCATAAAACATTTAAACAGTTGACAGGAAAACAGATAAACTTATAAAACACCAACAAACGTTTCAAGTATAAAAATTCATTCTAACGTAACTTAGTTCAGTGGTGTACTTTACAGGTTTTTCATAAATGTATAAAGATGAAGGATAGAGCAGGCAGTTTCAAGAAAGGTAGGAAGTGAAGAAACACTTTCACAACTCACATAAATATTTTCATGAATTCAAACTGTCTTCACTCTTATCTTTTACAACTAATTTCTTAAGTGGTTGTATATACGGTTTGTAATATCCAACCAGATTGGCACAGAAATATTTCTAAAGTGCGACCAGTTTAATTTCGTGTGTTAATCAATAAATACTCTGTAGAATTTAATTCATTTAAAGCGACTGCAATAACTTTCGAATAAATGATATATTAATTAATCTTTTTAAATTAGCTTCAGATGCACCAGTTTCAAAATCAAGACGTGTATCGCTTAGATCTAAACGGAGTTTCGACTATTCATTTGAACTATGGGATGAAAGCTATTTTGCTGTGGAACGGAAGGTAAATTTTACGCTCTTCATTTAATGTGAATTATAATATGAGTTTTCTCTGTTTATCATATAGACAAGATGCTACAATGAAAATTTATTTTAATTTTTTTTGTTTTTACTTTGCGGTAGGCTTGAAAATTTCTAACGCTCAATATCTTTGTTATTATCGTTACCCATGCAGCCACCTAACTAGACACTAAAAATAGACAACCTTATCGATGAAAATCTTGTGTTCGTTATCTTGACCAGACAAGTGTTCATCTTTGTTTACAGTAAAAACATCCCCTCCTTTGGTTCTTTCCAAATCAGGTAAATATGGGCTCCATTCTACCCCCGAATTACAGATCATAAAGGTAGTTGTTGAAATATATACAACATATCACAATCAAATAATTACTTCATAAATAATTCCATGAAACATATATCTGCATCCGTATTGATATATTTCTAATCGTTCAAGCCCCCGGCATCATGAGAAAACGTCCTTCGAGTCTGAAAGTGAATCGCAATTCACACTCAAGAAATAATTTCTACCTTTATCAACTTTATCTATTTCTATTTCCCTTTAAGTCCTAGGTAAATATTTTCAGTTAATACACCTTACCTCCAAAATCTACAATATAAAGTAGTTGGTTATTCGCACATCCCACATGCCAGAGTTACATTTTACTACACAATTCTTTCGTAAATCTAAAATATTCAGACAACAATATATGAGCTGACTGACAAAGTTAACAACACCAAGAAAGCATGTGCGTCGGTGGCACAGTGGTTAGGACTCTCGCCGACCATGCACATGGTCCTGGGTTCGATTCCCTGCCGGCGCACACCCGATATCTATGGTCGGCCTGCAAAATTTGGGCTACCGATATGACATGCTGAAAATTCCATACTTGTACTGAAAATACGGTGTGGAATCAAGCTGTAAATCAAAAATCAAAATATGCAGTACCACACATATTGCTGAATAATATGAACGGTTGGAGATTATTCACATCAATGAGGATTACCTACCAATCAGATCGAAATGAGCTTATCCCTACTCATATCATTCAGTTATATGTATGGTTCTTCATATTTCGCTCGCTGTCTAGTACCATTTATAGTTTCCTTTGGCACAGTCGTTCCAGGTACACAGACAATGAACAGTTGAAAGGCGCTTCAGCTAAACTCAGTTAACAAAACAGTTTAGAACAAATTATCACTGAGAAAGATGGAAAGTGTTTCAAATTTAATTATACAGTATCTGAGACTAGATTCTACTGCACTGATCAGAACTTCTGAAGGTCCTAAACAACTGAATTTAATCTATGGATTCAAGTATTTACGTTTAGCTGAAATATCATGGCACAGGATATATCAGAATTTTAAAAAAACATCATTTAGTTTAAGACACTACATTAAAGGCTATGAAAATAAAAATATGATTCATCTCCTAGTAATAAATTATGTATGGTGTATTGTATTTGGACCTGGCACACATATAACGTATCCATTCATGATATATCAAAGAGAACTATACTCTACCACTGTGTCCAGACTGTGTATTTGCAATATTGCTACTTTTCTGGAACGTAGCAAAATGAATTATGGAGGGAGTTAACACGGTTCCATAAGAGTTAGGTGGTACATTCCTAAAGAGATTATGATGTATATTACGTAAAAATTGCTTCTTACCCCTTAGGTATTATTACAAACACATAGTAACCATTTGTCTGACTGCAAAGGAAATAAATTGTAACTGATGCGGGACAATTCAGAAGACCTCATAAGATTTTTTGGATTGTATGATTTGGTATTCGGTACTAAAGTCAATATGTAATTCTTGTAAAAGAATATGCTAAAATCTTCTGTGGAAAAAGGAGGTTCTTCATGGTAAAAAATATTAGGTTTTCACGATCACTGAATGATAAAAATCTATACCCTTGTGAATAATATCTTTAACAGTTTTGCACTACTCTTCTGTTTAAATTTTAGATATCCCAGCTTGAAGGTTTACACTACGCAGCCTTCAATACAAATAAGCAAAACCGACCAAATGGGCACGAAATGATAGACCTAATAGAAGATCAGGGAGTAACGTGTCTAGACGCAGATAATCCAGATAAATGGGTTGTTCGCGCTCATCGGTCTCTGCAAAAGATGGGCAGTTTTCAACGAGAGCTCAAGAAAGAAAATACATCAACTGAATTTAATTCAATAGATGAAAATGAAAGTAATGAATGTTTGGACTCATCAGAAGCTGTGAAACAGGAATTCCAAATTAATAATGAAGAAATTAAGAGAATTGGAAGAGTTCCAGCTGTCTGCCTAACACGTCACTTAAAAAGTGCCCAACGTGGAAAAAGAAACCCTAGAGAAGCTTTCAGAGAAGATGTTATTAGTTTCTCAAATAAGCAACAGGAGGCACGAATGAAGATGAGGTGATTACGGTATTTTATTCTTAGACTTATTCATAATCTAAAAGATGTTTCCATATAGCAACATATGTGTCTCAACAAATTAGAAGTTAAGAGAGTTTACATAACTTTTCAATTCACTAACTCCATTTAAACATTTACCGTAGGCATTTCATCATGTGTATTTCCAATAAATTATAATAAGCGAATTGAATACTTGTTTCTTGTAATCTACCAACGCCCATTATTATCAAGGGGGGAGTATAATTAAAGACATTTCATCGCAAAAGTGCTGAATAAGCTCAGTAAATGAAGCACTTATTTTGAAAAACTGGTTAAATTAGGTTTGTACTTTTTAGGTATACTCACAGGACAGAAGTACAAATTACCTTTTTCCCAATCATGTCTGTTTTAACGAAATACATTATACAAAGTACTCAAATTGAAACAGTTCACTAATTACTAACATTAAAGAGACAATCGTGACGGATGACGATTTCAGTGAAGAAAATTCCTGTTGTTGTAATTTCATATTTCTAGCTGTGGAACCAGATTTATATATCGATAAAAATATATGATGACAAGTTGTGGAAATGAAGGGATAAAGTGGACTGAAAAAGTACTGTCCCAGAGGATCACGAATAACAACTCCATAAAGATGATTGAATGAATGAATAATAGTTAAGTTGAAGTGTGATGTATATGTGAATACAATTATACAAGTGTGTAAATGAAACTGTCAGAAAGAAAGCTTACATTCTGAAGTATTTAACTTATAAATGCAGAAATGGCTAAAATGTACCACGATATTATTTGAGACCCGAATTATCTGAAGGTAGTGAGGGAATATCTTCACAGATTTTAAACTATTTCCGTAAAACTGGTGACAGTTAACTTTACCGAACCATAACTAGAGGGTATATTACATAATGAATGAATTCTGTTTACAAGCATCACTAGAGTTCCATCAAAGTAATAATTAAGCAGTTCAGTATGTGAGACACGCTCAAAGTGCTGGCGTGACACAAACACTTTGTTCACATCCGTGATTGCTATTGTGATTATATGGGTATTCAAGGTTCCGTATGTTTCCGTAAATTTCTGACACACTTAAGCACAGAAATTAGAAATGTGATCTGACAGTATAAACCTGAAATGTTAAATTACATTTAGTGTTAGCCTTCCAATGTCAGGAACAACCTAAAATGTCACTCCTCTCACTCTTGAACTTGGAAGTGAATGAGTGAAAATAAATTAAAAACTAATTAGCTACCTTCCTGCTGTTACAACACTAATATTTCCATAAATACGGTTATTAAATGTGCCGAAATATCTGAAGTCATTGAAATGTTTTTGTTCTATGCCAGTTAAACCACCATGATCCAAAATGAAGGTAAGCACACTTCTGTTTCATTATGATATTCACACAAAACCATTACATATACCATTATTTTTCTCAGAGTACACGTACATTCTGACATCTATGACAAATTATTTTTATATTTTCTTCAATTAGCGTTACTGAAGTGCCACTTAAGTTATATTCTCAGAAATAGTCTTCAATGTTTGTCAACCACGCAGTTCTATAAAGGACAAAACTGTTTATGATCTGATAACACTAAGCATTCAAATGTATAATGACTGAAAACCACAGCTTTATGAAAAAAATCTCACTTTATACTAAGAACCAACAACAATTTCCAGTAAATAACTGTATAGGTGATTTTTCATTTCATTAACACTTAAATATGGTTAACCTTAAATCTACTGACTTCCAGTTCATCTGACAATATAATATACTAACACCAGCAATAATCCTTTTGGGCACAAATGACAAGCGGCCTAGTAGTTCGACATGAAATGTCCCTAAATTGTCCGTTCATGTGTGTTATGTTTTATGAAACCTTACTAACCTTCTTACAAAATAAACACGACACAGTTTTATGTTGAAAAGATAAAACTTTTTATTGGAAAGCTTTTATTTTACAAGTAAAACTATCAATACCTTTTTTAGACTTCACTTATATAAAAAAAACTGACATAAATATTGCAAAAGTAATTTATGATGAGCAACGTTTAGGTGTTCGATGTTATGATCTAAACACGTAGAAACATTTTAAAACTGAGTAGATCAAGTAAACTACTAGGAGTAAAAAGAAAATTCAAGCAAGGAATATTCTTTGTTCGAACTTTCTTTTGTTTTCTAAATGTCTGAATGGGAATTCTCACCGTATTAGATATTTTTTGTTACCAACCACTCTAATCAAATTATTTGCTCTAACAGTACAGTCGCTGAAGCAAAATAATATTGTGGAAAAAATATGAAACAGGACAGTTTCTGTTCTTATTATGTCTGTTTAGATATAAAGCAACGAATCAGCAGACTGCTCATATGGCTTGAGTTTAAAGTGTTTTACCAATGCAGCAAAATAAAATATTACTTCCCATGAGCGATTACTGAATTTGAAATATTTTACATAGCTAGAAAATAACAATGGAAACATATAATAAGGTTTCATGTTTTTAGTTGTTGATGTGTTGGTATGCTATTCATCATACCTTGGCTATTTATTATGCATCCTATGAATCGCATGACCACAAGCACCATACCAAAGTAACATACTTTTAATAAGATGTTGATATTTCTGAAATGTAGGGATCAGAATTCAAATCCATTTCTGAAAAATGAATTACTACCTGTTGAATAAAAGTTGGCAGTTCAGTCTTTCAAAGAAACCGATCTATTGATTGTATTACTGCAGCCACTTAACGACAACAAAATGAAGACTGTACACTGTCACTGCATTTTCTTCTCTGCGAAGGTTACCATTTATAAACATTTTACACAAAAGACGTTTTCGCGAAATGCGTTTTGTAGTGAAAAACACATAAAGAAAACTAAGTAGTACCAAGGAAAATCTAAAACAGGAACAGATACACATAAAAGAAGCTTTGAAACTTAATAATTACCCGGATAAATTAGTCAAGAAATATGTAAGGAAATGTAAAAATAAAATAAATAATGATAGTAGCGATAGTGATAATAACAATAATAATAGTGATAACAATAATAGTGACAATAATAGTAATATTAATGACGACACCAATAATAAGAAATCTAAATCAACAGTAGTAATTCCATACAAGGTAGGAACCTCGGAAGCCTTACGCAGAATTCTTAACAAGGCAGGAATAAAAATGGCATTTAAACCCACAAACTCAATTAGAAACAAGCTTTGTCGGTTAAAGGATCCTGTAGAGCCCTTAAAACAAAACAATTTAGTTTATCTCATACCCTGCTGGAATGATTGTCAGGTCAAATACATAGGTCAAACTAGTAGAACAGGGGCAGTCAGACTAGCTGAACATAAAAACCTAGCAAAATCTAGATTGGTTGACCCGAGTAAGATAAGAAATCTAGAGAATAGTTCAGTTATAGCACTACATGCAGTTACACACAACCATACAATAGGATGGGATAGGATGACAGTTTTAAAATCTAATGTCACAGGGTATAGGGAGAGATTGATAACAGAAGCTTTGTTTATCGAATCAACTACAAATACATGTAATAGGAATAATTCATCACCTGTCCCCGATATCTGGAAAATTCTACTACCCATACGATAAATAGGAGAGAACAAAGAAAAATAAAAAACTCAAGTGTCAAAGTCGTGTGATTATAATTGATATGATTATGAACAATAAATTTTGTTCGAAACGTCATCCAGTAAATAATACTGTTTCACTGTGTGATATATCAAATAAACAAACTAATATGGAATAAAGAAATTAGTTTGTGCTAAATATGGCACTGAAGATGTTGTCCAGAAGGACGACGAAAGCTTCGCAACTAAACCAACCAGCTCAGAGAACACTATTAATTGAAATTGGTTTCCAAAATTTTAACTTGAAATCCACACTTTTCTAAATACCAGGTAATAACTTTAAAAAAAGTCGTAAAAGCGTTTTGTGGACAATTATGGAAAATTAGGAACGCCATTTACCAAACCTGAACCATGGAATTCCCATTCATACCTTGCCATTCTGAATGAAAGTGGTACTCTGTCACTAAAGCATCCTGCGTTCACATGTTGAGAAAAAATTACTGAATTAAGTTATTTTCAATTAAGCTATAAAACACACTAAATGACTCTGCTTGTGTTTAGATAATATGGTCGGAATTACCTTCACCTACTTGAAAAATCCATTAACCTATATAGTATTCAGAGGGTTGTAAACTGTTCCTATGATACGAAAACCATTGTAGAAGTTACATATCGAACCAAATAGGTAGATGGCCTGTAATAAATATTGTATTGTTCAGGCCTGACTGGGAATTGGAAGCTGACTCACCTCTGTTCTTGTAAAAAACTTCTAGTAGACTTATCAGATTTCCTGCTGAAAAGATAATTTGGCACCACTATTATCACATGCAACCACACCCCTTATATTTCCTCAGTTTCCTTGTAAATCATGCTTACATTTTTCCCGAATACGAAACATTTCATATAAAATCTGTCTTAGTATTGATTCTGCCGAGCCTTCTTTTCTTGTTTTTCATAACACATTATAAATAACGTAATTCGCATTGGGATTACTGTTACTACCGATAAAACCAACAATATTTACTTAAAAAATAAGATACTATACACAACGTATTCATATTTACTGGCTTCCAGAGACAGAAAAAGACTTCTACATGTCTAGTAGTTTCGAACGTGAAGTGAAAAAAATTCATAAATGCGTATTATGCACTATAAACGCAATTACGAACTAAAGTTAACTACAAAGATGAGGATTGGTATGTAGCGCTGAGAGTGAAGGAAGAGAAATATTCACTATTTTTATGTGTAAAACACAACTGAAAGAAATGTCAAGATTGATTCCATCATAGAAGTTTGCTGAATCTTCATGTTCTGATGACCTAAGTGACCTCAAACGACTTAAGTTTTTGACCTTAAAGTCATTTTAACGTTTTTGCTAAATTAGACTGAATTGCCCGAAAGGGTCGATGTATCCTGAAAAAGTGTACCTCAGAGTTTGCACATTTGAAAGTCGCAACAAACCGCGCCCTAAGAAAAATAATTTACTAATATTTCAAAAAATTAAAGATTTTTGGATCAACAAATATGTTAACTTCCATACATTTGCGATAATTTTACCTCTGAACATATAATTCCTTTTAACATGCTATCAATATAATGTACAACGCCACTGGGCGGAAACACCAGTGCGTCGGTGGTATAGGGGTTAGGACGCTCGCCGACCATGCACATGGTCGGGGGTTCGATCCCCGGCCGACGCACTCCTTTACCTCGCTAAGCCAGTAATAAAGCTGATGAAGAGGAAAGGTTGGGCATGAGGCTAGCAACCTCATCCTGTAAAAATAAACACTGCTACAGAAACTTCAAGCCTCTAGCTGGAAGCCTTATGTTCCACTGGGGAACGTGAAAGAATAAAAAACAAAAAAACAACGCGACTTTCTTATGAACTGGTAATTAGCTCACTGTCAAAAATGAGTCTGTTAGCAAATTGTCTGAGTTGTGTGTTTTAACTGTTTTTAAAATCACTTTGAATAGCGTACATATATTTGAATGAGTTTCCACAATCTCTGCTAAAATAGACAGCTTCGCCATAGTTATTTGTACTGGATGTTTAAATATACAGATATAGCAGTACTAAAACTCAAAAAAAATGTCCACATAACTTAGTGGTAACGTATCTGACTGAAATGTTATTCGATACAGGGGACATTTAGCGCACACTACTGCTGATAAATGCTTTTAACATCGAATTTAGATTGCGCACGGTTTTATTTTGAGTGAATTTAAGCAAACAACATCAAAAGTGAAATATTCGAAGAAGTGAAGCAAATTAAATGTAAACTATTAAGCTGATGAAAGGTTATCATTATTATTATTATTTCCTTTAGTTCCTAGAGGAACATAGGGCTTCAGCCATGCGTCTCCATTGCGTTCGGTTCTCTGCTAGAGTTTTCACCTGGCTCCAAGTCTGCCCATACGCTTTCAATTCTTCTTCACATGATCTCCTCCAGGTCACCCTTGGACGACCAACTAGTCGCTTCCCTTTCAGGTTCCACTCAAGGGTTTGTCTAGTGATGTTACTTGATGGTTTTCTCAGCGTATGGCCAATCCATCTTCATTTCTACCTGTCTATTTGTCTCACAATCGGTTCCTGGTTGGTTCGCTCATTGCTAGAGATCCCTGTTGCTGATCTTTTCTGGCCATCTGATCTTGAGTATTGAGCGAATACAACTGCTAATGAAGGTCTGTAGTTTGTTTGAGGTGCTCTTTATGACGCGCAGTGCAAGTCTCTGATCCGTATAGTAGCACTGACTGACTTCACATTGGAGTTGAAAATCCGGATGTTATTTTTGATGCTGAGTGCTGTTGACCTCCACACAGACTTGAGAGTAGTGAAAGCTTGTCTTGCTTTTCCGATTCTTGCTTTGATATCCTCGTCAGTTCCGTCCGCCTGTAGTTGAGACGATGCTTCCCAGGTAGGTAAAAGAGGTTGTTTCTTTCAGGTTCCTTCCATTTATGCTGATTGCTGTCTGTTGTTGTTGCTGTGGCTGTTGGTGTTGGTCAGGAATCTTCATCACCACATCTGTTTTCTCTATGTTCACCTGAAGTCCTATCTTTGATGCTTTTTCTGCCAACTTGTTACTTTTCACTTGCATATCTTCCAGTTTGTGGGAAATCAGACATATATCATCAGCGAAGTCCAGATCCTCCAAGTTTTTTGTGTGAGTCCATTTTATGCCTGTTTCCTCATTGCCCGCTGTTTGTCGCATTATCCAGTCTACTGCAATCAGGAAAATCATTGGCGATAGTAGGCAGCCAGCTTGTCTTACTCCTGTCTTCACTTCGAAGGGTTCCGTAAGTTTCCTGTTGTGGATTACTTGGCATGCAGTGTTGTCATACAACTGTTGGATGAAATGTATAATTGTCGGTGGCAGAAAAATAATAATGAGTACAGATGTTTATAAGTCCCACTCATGATAACCATCTGATATTTCTTCAAGAATTAACTGCTCATTTTCGCTGTGGATTATCTGAGGTAAAAACTAGAGAATTCGCTCGCTTTCTTCTGTCTTAAAAGACAGAAGTCAAGGAATAATGTAGATAGTCAGTCATTGTGTTAGTGGAGTTAAGTGGTGAAATAATTACACAAATCTACAGCTCAGAATGAAGAAGAAAGCTGGTTGGCTTTTCCTGAATTTCTGTATTTGGTGGTGCAAGTACAATGACTAAATGCAATGATATTTTTGGCAAATTTATTATTGATGACGTCAATCAGTCTAGTCACTTGACATGATGATAAGAACAGGGAGTCTAGAGGGAAAAACACAACTCGAGTGGTTGGTCCGCGATATTTTTGTCTTCAACTGAGACGCCTACTCTGGCCTAATACTCCTCACTATACCAAATGAAGCATCATTAATCATAATTGTCCACACTACAATTTACTGCAAGTCATCTGATGTTCAATATACAAGCACGGAAACAAAGTGTCAGTTAATATGCTCAGGACCACAAAGGAAATCCAACAGCATTTTCTATTCTCACCTGAGGAAATGCTGGTTATTGCAGGTTTTCATTTGGTTTTTCAAATCCACTAGTGCGAACTGATTTAATCTATGCTTATTATGTCAATAATCTTAAAGAAACTCATTTTTAACATAAATCGGGGTGTGAAGCAAACTGTTTAGGCGTTAATACAGGATACTTTACTTACAGAACACTTATCAACAATCTTCTGAAGGTTTGGGTTAGGTTTTTATTTTTTTTCCCTGATGATTTAAAATGTGAGTGTTCGTTTAAGTGGATGGTCTTTCTAAAAAATTTCCTCTATAGGCAATAATTTTGGTCCAACAATTCTAAACATTTTTTAGTGAAGTGGTTAAGTTCTTATCATGCATTTTGGGACAGTTGTTTGAAATTGTGCTTTCATCATGAAAATGATGCGTATATAAAAATTAGCTTCACACTACATACTTTTGTTTCTTTATAACACAGGTACGCATTAACTGAACTCAGCGACACCGAACTCGAATATTCACGGGCCTTAAAGCAATTAGTAGAAGTATTTGATTCATTAAATGGAAAAATGATTGTTAGTCAATCAGAAAGTTCAGAACAAACCACAGACTATCCACAGATGATCAAGAATGACATCGAAGGACTGCAAACAACTTTGAGAAACATTCTTCAATTTTCTGGGTAAGTTAAGAATTTTATGGGAAATTATTTGAAACTGAAAAATGAGTTTTGTTATGTAAAAGAAATTACAGCTCACTAGTTTACTTTTATCGCTACGTCTCACGACTCAACGGGTTGTTTCAAATTTTAGTACTATTAAAAAGTTTTTTCAATTAAGAATATTTTTGTTACAATAATAAAAGAGATGTTGAATAGCTAAATTTTCCTGCTTCCTAGCCCTGTTTAACTTTGGTTTAACTCTTCTTCGAACTGGCAACAGTAACCCCTGAAGTCATTCGATTCACCATCAAGGTTATTTTGTTTGATAGTAGCAGTGGAACTCGCCATCTGGATGTGACTGTTATACCAGTAAGTGCTGTTTCCATTGCACCCACGGTTTCAAACACCACCAACCAACATGACTTCATGTTCGGAATTTTCATAAATCATGAATAAATAATGACATAACTTAATCGAAAAAGGAATTTTTTTAGGCCTTTAACTGCATTTTATTCAATTCAAAATCATCGTAATACCCACATCGAAATCATTAAAATTCTTGTCAAACTCAACTTCCGAATAAAAACTATTTTCCAAGTCAAACATGTGCTGAAGGTAGAATCATCTCAAGAATATCTGTCAATGAAGCATTCATCTTTTGTTCGAATGGTCACAATGATTACAGTTTAATTTAACACTTTATTCATATTCATATACTATGAAAAAAGATTTCAACTGTAAAATCCTGTGATTTCATGTTAAGAATGCAGTAATAATCCTCATTAATTTGAAAAGAGCGAAGATCAACCTGGATATAAATTTCATATGGATAGAAAATAAAATCCCTACGAATTCATACACATCTCTGCCATTCGTGTTGATTTGTTGGAGGGTTTCATCATGAGCTGATATCAGTTAGCGAACCATTGCAAAATCTCGGAGTACTAAACAGTTGTTTCATCCTAATTTGAGATTGGTTCTTCAGCAGTACGCACCCACCAGCGTTCGAAAGCAGAACCTTCTGGTTACAAGGCGAGCTCGTTGACTATTAAGCCACTGGGACCGCATCTAGTGGCCCATGAATTTTTTAATTCTCCCAATGCACGAAATAGGGCGACCACTTCGCAGTGTCTTCTTCGATGATGAAATCCTCCAACCAATCAAACAAAATCCCTACAATTTCAATACTAGAAAATTCATGTTGAATCAAAAAAGATAATGACAGTGTGTTTATTCTATACAGATTAGCTTGAAACATTTACTTATATAGTCTAAAGGTTTCAGTGTACTCAAATTTAAGCTTGTAAGTAAAATTAAAATAAATACGCATACAAGGTTGAAATGCTCACAAGCGAAAAAGCAAAGTAAAGCTTCACTTCTAAAGATCACCGGAATAAGATGTGTCCACCGAATTGTACGTTCTTCGTCAGCAACTTCAATTGTGTAGACCAGCGTCTACTGATGTTGACTGGTAATTCGCAGGTATTTACCCATCACCAGTCACCACTCATAACCTCAATATTAATACGCAAACTCGTAGCTACCTCAGATAATACCATCAACATTTGTAGAATATCATTAATTCTTAAAAAAATGTAATTATGTTGCGAGGATTTAAACAATTCAAACAAATCAAAGAAAACCTACTAACTGTGAAAAAGAAATAAGTCTAAATTTTAATAACACTTAAATAAATGAAGAGTTTGAATATTATTTAGGTATATGAATCTGTTTTCGCACTTATCAACGATCTGATAGATATTGAACAATCAGCACGTTCTAATTCAACTCTACATTAATTGATTAGCTTATTCTCCTATTTATGCATTTATAATTAAGCATCACTTACCTATCATTATATAAAAATATAGTAAGTGTATAAGGTATATCTGGTTAGAGTGAATTAGCCAAGCCTACTACTTATTATTTTAGTGCCTTGAGTAAATCGCAGTTGCACTCAATTGTTTTTCTGTTCACTTTGAGTGTTTTAGGCTTTTGTGCAGCTTTGTTTATCTGTTTGATTCTTCTTATTTCAGTATGTTCCTGGAGAAACTGCCTTTGTATGCTCTTGAGCCGGGGAAATCTGCAGAATGTTTCACAAAAAATGTAAGTTAAATTTAACGAAAAATTAAATTATGGTTTGTTTTCAAACGATTGCTTGCATTTTTGTTTCAGTTTAACTAAATGGATCCAAGTTTACCCCTTATGCACCATTTTGTTCATTTTTTCGGCTTGAAAACATTTCTTTTTTTTGGTATATAAAGAGGAGTATTTCAAGTAATGGGAGAAAAGTTACACCCTGATCACAGACCAAAATTTAACTCGCAGCAATTGGTAAAATTAAAAATTATTACAGTCACAAAGGCATTGTTAGCCGAATATGATTTTCCTTGCCAAATTAAGTTGTTTTTAATACAGAATAATCCAGAATCGGTTTCTCGCTCATCATCCATCTGATTTATGTGTAAAACTCAAATGATTGAATATTAAGTTCTTGGTAGCATTCAACATGGAAAATGAATATGAATTTGGCGACAGATGTTATGCAAAAACTGACCTAATTTACACGACAAATAGGTATTTCAAAATATGTGCCTTTTACTGGTTATAAAAAGTTGTTATGCAAAACAACAGTTATTTACTCAAATATTCTGACTTCTAAAAATAATTTCCTCGACCCACTCAAAAAATCTTTAATTGTAGGAAATTTAAACAATATCTTGTAACGCGGTTATTGTGTGGAACAACAATTATGACTTTAAAGACCAATCAGTTTCACTACGTAAACACATTGGTGATACATGTTCTATCAGTGCCCTTGTGTGTTATGTCTTTGAATAACGTTTGAAGTTTTGCATGAATAAATCAGAATGAAAACGCAACCGAAAATGTTGTGGCTACGAGTTAACAACTATCACAAGTGTCTGTTCAAACTATGCAAACGAAAACTCACTAAATAATAACAAACATGTTCAAAATGTCATTGAGAATAGGCCACAGAAAACATTATCAATTTAGCTACAAACAAATTAAAGAATTCATATAAGGTAACCAGGCATTTTCACTTCCATATCGTGAAACTATGATAGAGAGAAAAATTACGAGTACAAAAGCTGCCACATCACAGAGTAATAAAGAAATATACACATTGGGTCATAGGAATTAATAAAAAGACAATTGCAGCGAAGAAAATTTTCTTTTCGACGAGTAATAAAGACAGAGGAGTTGATTAAGAACAAGTGAAAAGATGCAGTCTTTACATCTAGTTTAGTTTAATATTGCCCATGATACCCATATGAAAATTCTACTAGATGCTACCGAGAAATGGATCTATATGTGATTAATTCGAAGAAATGTGGGAAAGGAAAAGCATGCACACTGTGTTCGCATCACTGTAATAAATTATAACGAAGCAGTGAATCACACAAACCATAGTTATTTTCTGTATCATTTAAAGGTATACTTGAAAATTCATTCTATTCTAAAGTGATGGTAATAAATTTGCAATAGTATTTAACAAGTGCTGTTAGATTTGTGACTCATCATTTGTCGTCAAGATGGTGAAAAGCTGACTTTTAAATTTCTTTCAGGAATTTCAATCACACTACTATTTAATGAAGCGTACTCATATTCGGCTTCTCAAGAAATATTGAATGAGTTAACACTTAAACCATGTTTTACTTAGCTCACTGAAATGTGTGCGTGTAGAAGCTGCCAGAATCTTCCAACATTTCACATGTTCACTTATGAGAATTTGAATATGTGTATATGATTTATTATTTAGTCCTAGACCATACAATATCTAATCCACATGCACTAGTTTATTAACGTTAATTCATAACTTGTGTTTTAAATAAGAGCTATCAGAATGCTATTGATGTAAGAATAGAACTTTGAGACTGTGGTAGAGTATAATTCCATGATGGAGAAGATTTATTTTGAAAAAATCTCACATTGTTGTCCAGTAGTATTTACTGATGACGTTTAGAGCACAATTTATTGCTCACAACCATATCAGGGTACTCACACAACATTCTGACTTCGTTTATATTCATGAATGAAGACTGATTAGACATATGAATGAATAAATAAAAGTCAGCATAAAGTTCAATATACATGCGTGAGACAGATAGGAAGATGAAGTACATTCGCAATAAAATAGGAATTAAGACGAGTGTTGTTAGTCAATGTCTACACCCAGCACATGCAATAGAAATGACTCAACACAGATACCAGAGACATAGAACATACTACTATTAATCAGATCAAAGGATAAGAAATAATGTTAAATTTTGCTTTTATTTCAATTTACGTCATCAAACTCTAAAGTTTTAACTATTTTATTTTACTGACAAAACATCTTATTCCCCATCTTATTGACTAACAACACTCCGTAGTAGAACTAGCAGAGTGTTAATTCAATAATTAGTAGGTTTAACTTTTCACCTGTTCCATAAGTGGAAAGTGATTAACCAGTCTAACCGTAACACTGATTATTAATTTTAGATGTTGATGATTCCTTCAAATCTTAAAGAATTATCAAGTTTCTCAAGCAGCTGTAAACTTGACTGACTTAACTAATTCAATCGGGCAATGTGTATAAAAGTGGTAATCGTCTCACAAAGCTTTGTTTACTTATTAGCAAGAGTATCGTGCTTTAAGGTACTGTAGGAAGTTCAATTTTACCGAAGAATAACGAACATAACTTACTTACTTTCTCAGTATTTAGAAAACTATATAGTGTATGTTAAACAACATTGTTGGGAGACAGAATAAAGTGGCTTACTATAACAAACTTGGTATTCATGGTAAGTTGGCTATCACTTGTGATATACTATACAAAGGCGGAAAAATTAGTAAAATGTTTCACAATATGTGAAAATGTTGTCCTCTAAAAGGCAACAAAGTTGTAAGTAAATCCAGTAAAAATGTTCCCCTCACTAAGAAAAAAAAGCAATACATATTTTACCTGTGAAGATTATGTACCCAGGTGAAGAAACATTCATCACAATAAATGATCTTGAAAATTTCTTTATTTTGTCGGTCTAAATATCACTTATTTTTATGCTAGAACAAAGAAGGAAATCACTGAAAGTTCTAATGGAATTTTTCGGCGGCTGTTAGGACATAATAATAGTCAATAGTTCAGTTGTTAGGCTACGGATGTATTTATGATAAATACTCTACTTCTACCAGTGATTTAATTAACTACCCACCACATTTACTTATCGCTTACAAAGAATATCATACAGTTTGTATTTCTCGTGGTTGTCTATTTCTGTGGAAATCACAACCATGTCAACCATGGTTTTTCAGCCACTTATAAGTTTGCTACTTCTAAAGTTTTCTGAAGATGGTCTCAAATGTTTCTTAGCTAATGTTGTCATGGGGGGAAATCAGCTTCGTTTTGACTGAAATTTACTGTTCAGTTGTGAATAATGGATTCTGTATCACTGTTTCTCAAGGTGATCATAATATAAAATAATTTTATTTCAATGTGCTATTTGAGAGGTATCTGGTGTCTGCATTCTATAATCATTTAAATGGAAGTTGCAAACCTGGTAGTTTTATCAAGGGAGATTCATGTTTTCAGTTAAACTTGAAATGTCATAGGTAACGGCTATTTTAAACCGTTGAGAAAATACCAGTTGAATGAATATAATTTAAAAGTGGGTTTGGCTTCAACATACTTCAACATAAGTTCCATATTACATGTGAGATTTTTTAGTGCTGTATTATGGATTATTTATTAGTCATCTTTTATGAACACTTGGCACGCACTACTTATTTATTTAGAAATAGTGGTAGACTGTTTAAGATTTCGCCTGACTATCATGCTGTGCAATTGGCGAATTATCCCAATCGGTAGTGTTTACCATACTATCTTAGTGTCTTCTTTCCATACCGAGGTCCTTTAAAGTTCGTTCTCCATCTCAAAATTACTGCTAAGTAATCTGTGTCAGTGGATCAGAGGTAGAACGCTAGTAGACCAGGCACATGGTCCGGGGATCGATCCTCGGCAGACTCACTCCTAAACCTTCCTAAGACGGTTATAAGGCTGTTACAAATAAGAGACTGGGCGTGAGGCCAGCAGCCCCATCCCATTAAAATAAGATCCATGGCTATTGAAACTTAGAAGCTCTAGCTTGGAGCTCTGTGTTCCACTTGGAACGTAAAGTTATAAAATTGAATTATGAAGAAAATATTACAAAGCTGTTTCAGATGTACCAAACTGTTGTAAAGCTCTGTTACTACTGCTACTGATGCAAAAGACAACGCAGAGAAACCTTTTTTTTGAAGCTGGGCAGCAAATAATTAATAATGTGACAGCAAAACTCCCACTATCATGATACTTAGAATATATTATTTGCTCGAAAATTCATTTCTTAAGTTCAAAATATTTGCAAGCATTAAGCTTAAACTTCTATTTCCAGGCATCCGGTTTATTTGGTAGATACAGTAATGAATAAGATTAAGAAATCTACAGCGAATTTAGTATATAGTATGAAGCTGTCACTGGGTGAGTCTAAATAGTTTAGTTTAATGCCTAAAACTTAAAATACATAAAACAGGTTACCCCATACGACCAATAGTAGACTTTAGGAATACCCCCATTTATGAATTATCAAAACACTTAGCTCTAATATTATGTACCATTAGAAATCGTTCAAACTCTAGGCTAACTTATTCATATGAGATGGAAAATAAACTAAATGACATTCAACTAGAGAATGATGAAAAAATGATGAGTTTTGATATAACTAGACTGCACACTAATACACCAATCAATATGGCCTTAGAAGCAGGTAAAAGGGAACGAACTTCTGGTCCCGAACTTAGTCACAGGACAGAGTTGCCCACTGAGAAATATTATTTTAGGAATTCAGTTATGCCTCACATCTACTGTCTTTAAATTCCAGGGCGAAATATATAGACAAACAGATGGTGTAGCAATGGGAACACCAATATCCCTTATCGTGGCAGATATCTCTATGGACAGCTGGGAAAATATTGCTCTAAATACAATAAATCCTATTCCAAAAATATGGTGAAGATATGTCGATGACTCTTTCACAGTGTTAGAAACAGAAAATATCTCTAGCTTC